TTTTCTGGACCACCAAAGCTGACGGTGCCATAGCAGTGTTTCCCAAAGTGGGTTCCATGGGATGCTACTCTGCAGGAGGCTTAGCGAGAAGAGGGTTCCATGGTTAAATACGTTTGGGAAATGCTGTAGGCGCTGTGCCCCTTTCGGAGAGCCCTGAATCACATTCATTAGCGTTAGCACGTTCAAAGGAGCTGCGCGGTCCAAGGCAAGGTTCTGTGTAACTGTTTAATCCACAGCATTTCCCAAACTCATTTGACCACAAAACCTGTTTTCTGTTTGTTTTGTTTCCTGTTTTGACCTAACACCGATTAGCACCCAGCGGAACACTCTGTGGGAAACGCCACTGTAGGCCGAGCGCCATCCCCCGGAATGGTAATGCTTTTGTTCTTTTAAGGGGTAATCAAGGTCTCCTTTTCCTCCTGCGGAGTGTGCCTTAGTGAGTGAAAGGTGGGATGTTCATAGCATCTGGCTGACTGGCAGGGGCAGAGGAGTTGCCAAGGCTTCCCCTTGACCCTGGACCTTCCATCCTCCTTCCCTACTACGAACCTTTCTCCTCCTACTCCCCAGCTCCCACCTCTTAAGAATGCCCCTTCCTGGCCACTTCGGCTTCTGCCTGCTCTCTTTACCCCCGTCTTTTATTCCAATCTCTGCTCAGCTGAAGACGCTCACATGCGCCAATCTGAAAGAGGACTCAGGCCAGAGGTAGAAAGCTGGCTCTGGGACCTTGGACAAGTCCCCCCACCTCCCACCTTCAGTATTATTGTCATCTGTCAAATGGGTATAATGAGACCTGCCGAGAGCACCTAGTTCTAGTTGATCACTTAATGTCACAGATGGAAAATGATAAGGACCCTGGCTAAAGACAGTACTAGCATTAAGTCTCATGGCTTCAATTCCTCTTGGGAGTGAGCTGGGCTTTGGACCGTTGGCTGATTCCTGGCTGGCTGAGACAGCCTGGTATGGACATTCCAGCAAAGTCACCCTGGGGTTTATTGGAATGGGGAGGTCCAGGTGAGGTGGCTAGTCACACTCAGCTACCTGGTCATTCAGCCCCATCTCTCGCCTCCATCCTTTCTCCGTCTCTCACTTGGCCACAGGTGAAGTGTGTGCGGTACTGGCCTGACGACACTGAGGTCTACGGAGACATTAAAGTCACCCTGATTGAAACAGAGCCCCTGGCAGAATACATCATACGAACCTTCACAGTCCAGAAGGTAAGTGTCTGCATGGTTGTGGGCTGTGGTCCAGCAGGAGGGCCAGGTTGTTCATTCCGGAGCCCATGGCTACTGAGGGACTACTCTATGCAAGGACAGAAGGTTTGCAGTCTTCCCATGGGTCCAGCACCTTCCATCCTGTTCCCTCCAAGCCCCCAGTTCCCACCCATTACCCATTGTCAATGAGTCTCTTCCTACCCAGTGGCTGCAGCAGCGAGCTCAAACATAAGAACAGTTGGGAGGATGGCCCAGGCCAGGCGGTGAATCTTTCTATGGTGCATATAGATCCCTCTGCGGCAGAACCGCCTTGACAGCACCCAACAACGATAATTAATGACAAAGTCCGGCAAGCGGCGGGGGAAGATTTCCACATGTTCTAAGCCAGTGGTCCTTAACCAGGGAGGGTGGTGTCCCCTAGCAATGTCTGGAGACATTTTTGACTGGCCCAACTTGGTGGTGGGAGTGGGGGAGGTGGGGAGGGTTGACATAGGACATCTAGTAGACAGAGACCAGGGATGTTACTGAACATCCTTTACTACACAGGACCTCCCTTCTCTCTCTGTCTCTCTCTCTCTCTCTGTCTCTC